GTTGGGGGGGGGGTTGTCGTGTTCGGCCGGCACAGCGGGGGTTTGGCGGAGTAGGGTTTTCGTGTCCTTGGGGGGAGGTGCCCCCCGATGTCCTTTTTTTTGGTCATCGTTTGTCTTCTCGCCCTATGGTAGTGGGCACGACGTTCGATTGATGTCCGCCGTGTCCCGACAAAGACACACGCGCAGCGGATTACCGAACGGCAGCGCGCCATCTCTCGAGAGATCCACCCGCGACCACCACTTTGCAATAAGTACCGCGATACTGACCCACACTACAGTCATCCCAAAGTGTGCGTATGATCTTTACGCGGAGTGGTGCTTTCGCTGTCGCGGGACTTCTTCTCGCCATCCCACCCCCTCCACCCCATCCATCGCCTTGTTTTCGCGAGCACCGCAATCTAATCGTCTCCCCAATGCCAGATCACCCGCCATCAACCGTCTTCCATTCGCGGCGCCATGTGATCTTCTCGCTGCCTGACATCTCCGCAAATACAACCGCCGACAACCTTCTTTATTGCGCGTCGCGAACACATCTTCTCGCCGCCTTTAGCTTTCGGCGCCATCTAGCAACAGTGCCCGCGTCGTCCGGCGCGCCGCGTTAAGATGTGTTGCCCGCCATCTCCTCCGTTTACGGAAGCACGTTGTTCTCACTCGGCTTCCATTCCATCGTCGATACAGGATATGGTATGACTTCTCGCGGAGTTGCACGTGGGAGAGCTGTTGGCAAACAAGTAGCGGAAGGCGAGCTCGCACCGAAGAAAGGTCGCCACGATCCCCTGAAGAGAAGAAGGGTCGTCCAAGGTGGGAAGGCCGCAATCCGGCGAGAGGTGGAGTCTGCTTGGGTGGATGCAGAGGACAGACAGGAGGAGGACGACGACTTCGAAGAAGAAGAGGAGCAAACTCTCGAGAGAAGAGTGAAGCAGAGGGGGGGGTTCGCCGCGGAGGCGGGGCATGATCAGCAGCGGACGCCGTCGATTAGGCGGACCGAACAGCCTGTTGGCGTCACAAGCAATTCCCAGGCCGTGATCGACTCATCGACGAAACGTTCCCCCGCGCCGCAGGCGCGCGGGGAGGCAACTAAGGTTGCGTCGTCCGTGGCAGACGCTGCGAAGGCAGGCGATGGCGGGACAGTAGGCGAAGACGAGGAAGCGGTAGCGAACAGGCTTCGCGGGCAACGTGCCGAGGCGAAAACGAGGAAGCGGTAGCGAACAGGCTTCGCGGGCAACGTGCCGAGGCGAAAGCGATGGATTTGGCCGCGAGGCTATGGACGGACGACATTCGGTTCTGGAATCAAACGCGGGGACACAGGATCATCCATATCATACACAAAGCCCGTGTGTACCTCGTTGACGTGGCGATAGGAGTGCAGCCATCGCCGATCCGAAGGAGCATCAACCTCCCCCATAGTTCTATCCTGCAGAAGAAGATCGAAGACGGGTCGAAGTTGACGGCAGTGAAGGAAAGGGCGCTGAAGGTGGAGACCATTGCGAAGAGGGCGATCCACGAGTGGATTTTCAAGTCCGAAAGCAGACACAAGGGGTATCACTTGGCGTACCAATACGCCTTGAGCCACGCGGTGACTGACATCGCTAGAGCGATGTGGGCAGCGGAGGACTGACGCTCGTTAGTGAGCCCGATGGTGTTTCGAACGACGCTGGAGCTGGGTATGAAGCTCCCTTTGTGGTTCGTCGGAGCGAAGGTGGAGGACAGGCACCAGGACGAAGAGTGCGCGGCGTACCAGGAGGCCATCGCCCAACGTCTGGTGCGCGACTTCAGCAAAGTGGTGGAGGCGATGGACTCAGGGCGTGCCTCTTACGAGCGCCTGAAGTCCCTGGCGGAGGTGATGAGATATCTGCTGGCGGCGGCGGCGTGGATAATGAGGATGGTTGGGGACGACGCTAGATCGCACTTCGACGCCTGGGTTTTCGTGCAGCTAACGGCGAAGACCACCCTTCTTGCTTCCATGGATCGCCATTTCGACTCGCGTCGTCATGTCTTGCTAGCCGCAACTGTCATGACTGAGAAACTCGGAAGACCGCCTTCGACCTTCGCTCCCCCCCCGCTGTACATCCCCGACTGGGCGTCGAAGTGCGGCGTCACGTTCAATCACGATGCGACGTTGTCCTCCCCGATGGAAGCGACGAAGATGGATTGGATCGCCACAGGCCCCCATGAGGGGGAAGAGTCGAACGACGACGATGTTGATGGCGCCGAGGGTGGGTGACAGTGGGAGTCCAAGTCGATGGACTGCCGACGAGGGTGGATGATAGTGGAGGTCGACGATGATGACGGCGGGGAGGGTGTGTAGTCGCAACGGGGAGTCTGTTCCGATTGACGTCGCGGTCGCCACCATCATCGTTCCTTCCATTGGCAGGGCGCTCACGCAGTGTGTTTCGCTTTCTGGCGCTTGTATCTAAGCTTCGGTGTGTGTACGTGCACGTAATTTGTGGCGTTCGGTGTGTACTTTTTAACTTGTGCTTGTTAGTGCTTGTTTTCGCTTGTTCTTATCATGACAAACGGTGATTACATTGTTGTCGATTTTAAGGCCGTGTTATGTCATTTTGAAATCGTCCTTCACATTCCCGTTTCTCCGAGTCGTGTACCTGCGTTCCTCATGGTTGTTAGGCGAAGCGGAGGCTCCAGTTATATTCTGTGCTTCATTTCAACACCCTGTAAAGTCGTGTAGCGATTCTCAACGGAAAGGAAACAATGTTGTTGTATCTCACAAGACAATGGATTCGTGTGTTGTGTAGGCGATGGGACAGGCGTCTTTGTTTTGGAGATGTGTTCTGGTAATGGGGATGTGTTGTTTTCATGGGAGAAGAGATTCATAATGTCCATTAACCGATCTGATCGTTGCTGATGGTGAGACCCTGCTTTCGCAGGAACTCCTGTGCGAAGGTTTTTAAGATTTCACGGCAACACAAATGCAAAATAAAAGGGGAAAACATGACAACACACACACACACACACACACACACACACACACACACACACACACACACGCCTGAACACAAAAACGCCAAAGAAACTTTTCTGCACTTCGTGAACGAAAATACATCGCCAAAATCATGACTGCACACCGCTTGCCAACACCAGTGAACGAAAGAAGATCATTTAAAAGAAGGCGAAGCCTTCGAAGGTTGGCAATCACAACAGTTGCAAAGAAAAAAAGATCGTGGCTCGATCGCCGTCCATGCACCCCCCACCCCCCCTAACCCTAAACTGGCGAACCCACGACTTCCTAACATGAAACCTACTACCCGTTTGTGCTTCAACACCACTTTCCGTAAAACCATCATCGACTTCCGCACGCCGATGATCACTACGATAATGAAAGACACTAACGTGGACGAACTTTTCCACAACCAGCTTGCGCCGCTAAAACAACATTGGTCCATAAAGGACGGTAGTGTGGAAAAAGTGCGACAAAAAACGACCGCGATGATCAACCACCCACGACCTCACTGCAACACGCTAACAACAAGACGACAAGTTGGCGGATATGTGCGCGGGACACCCCCGTGCTTGGAAAGCACGTTGTGCTTGTCGATGACGAAACAATCTTCAGGACGGCAGCAATCTGGGACGGCGTCATAACAGATTCCTCTCAGCACCTCCACATGGTACGGGAGGGCGTACCTCCCTATCGTTCCTGGACCATAATGTTTGCGGTGCCTCCCCGCTTCAGTCTGCTCCCATGTCTTGCCACATTAAGACCCTCTTCGGCTCGCCACTCCCACAACCACCCGTCCTCACTGCGCACCCATCCTCTCCGCCAACGCATCCCTCAGAATGAGGGCGTCCCCGGTCGATGACTCCATGCAAACAGGACGCAGCGACGCATGCATACCAAGATCCACCCTGCGTCGGACGCCGTCCGGACCGACCTCCCACAACAGATTGTCGTCGAAGGGAATGCCAGCATCGATCAGTATGTTGTGTAGGATGGAGACAACGATGAACTGTTGCGGCAACGTGTCCATGTTGCATTTGTGCGTGCGGAGGAACAACCTCCACATGCCCTTCAATCTTCCAAACGCCCTTTCAACCGCCCCCCTCCCCGTCTTCTGCTTGTTGTCGAACCGTGCCTCCACGGGGTGCTGCGCGAGACCTCCATAAGGGACGACAATCCATTCCGACTGGGGATAGCCGTTGTCGCCAAGCAAGTATCCATTCGTTTAGACGCCGAACGGCAGCATGACATGCGGCCCAGTGAAAAGTTCTCCACGCTTCGCTCGCTCCCACAACCTGGACAGATGCAACATCCTCATGTCATGCACGCTGCCAGGGTAACCCACGAAGGTGTCCAGTACACGCAAATTCAAGTCCACGACAACTTGCGCCTGCACAGAAAATCGCCGCTTCCGATCACAGTAGTCCTCCCCGTTCGCGTTGGCGGGTTTGTCGACGTAGATGTGGGTGCAGTCGATGCACCCGTGGCAATTTGGAAATCCCTTGTCTGCGAAGGCGCGCAACACGACGGCCTTCTGCAAGCCAGTGGGCCACGAAATCTTGTCCGGGTACGCTGCAAGCAAGGTGGCGGTAACGTCTCGCACCGCCGTGATGTCAGAAGCCCTCCCTATACCGAAGCTGCACGTTCCGTTGTCGTACGTCTCACCCGACGCCCACCTGTAGAGAGCGTACTCCACGATGTGGTCAGGCTGCAACGGCTCCCTGTAAAACGTCACACGCCGTTGCAGGTATGGAGAAAGTGTTTCCGCGATTTCACGGAAGACACATGGCGACATTCGGAGCTTGTCTCTGAAGTACTTGTCGGTGGCGTCGTCGGTTTGCCGCAGGTCCTCCCACGTGCCTCCCGTCCGCCGCTTCATCCACCAATGTGGAGTCGCCCTCGGAAATGCGTCGCTCCCCAACGCGTAGCACACCTGGAGGACGACGTCGGAAACTGTAGCCAAGTCCAAGCCTTCACCGCTGCTCTGTAGTGCCGTCATCTTCCGTCACACATGAGCAGCAACTTTCATCTTCCCCGCGGTTCTCTCCACAAGACAACGGTAGAGGACGACATTCACAGCCGCAGCAATGGCCGTCCTCTCATCTTTCATCAACGCACCACCCCGGACACCGCCGTCAATAACCATTCCCGACGCCTCTTCCATCGACGACACTGCCACCGACGACAACCGCCACGACTCCGCACACGCAGCCACGTGCAACGATGATATCCCGCCTCCGTCACAAAACGTGGCCGCCAACACTGCGCACGGCAACAAGCTACCGCGATGGCGACCTTACACGTCGACAACGTATGGTCGTCAACCAGAGGGCGTGCGCACACTGAAAAACCCTGAGCTGCGTTCAAACTCACGTCTCGTACAGACACGCCCACTGCCGCCACCCCCCCCCGCCCCCCCACCCCCCCACCCCCTCCGAAGTCTACAGCCTACTGTGGCTCAAACTCAACCGAGTGTCCTGGTTGGGAGGGAAGTAGAGAGAAGGAAGTAGAGAGTTGATGGGGGGAGGGGAGCAAATAGGAGGTAACGTAACTAATCATTTAGCCATGGACAAATGTGAAGTCTGCCTTCGGTGGTCACTGCAGCCAGTTTGTTATCTCGCGCCCATGTTACGAGAAACCAGCAGAGCCTTTTTGGCGATTGTCCTTTTGTCGCCTTCCGTGTCCAGTCTACCATAATCATTGTTCTGATTAGGTACTTAATCTTCCTCTTCGTAGCCTGATCGGAAGTGGACTGATTCTCAAAAAGTAAGTTGTTCTGATCCGTCCAAATGACCCAAAGCAGGATGGATTGGATTGCTTGTGCCACGTAGCCCCGACCGACAACTTTGAAGCAGGAGGAAGGAATGATTCCAAACATAGCCCAGGCCTCATCTCAGAGTAGCGCAATTCCGACAAAGGTCCGCCAGTGTAGCTCCCACCATTGCCATATTCGCTTTGAGGCCGGATAGTCCCACACCAGGTGTGCGAGAGTCTCCTCCGCTCGTCCCCCGCATCTTCCACATTTCGTGTGTAAGTCCAATGTGGACGGATTGGAAAGGGCCGATTTGAGGTCTTGGGCATGGTTCACGTCACACTGCTGTACCTTTTCAGATGGGACAAGGTCGCGACCGTCTGGAGAAATTGGGATTTAGTACTTGGCTGGTCACACGGGGCTGTGACGAACCAATTTCTGTTCCGCGCGACCTTCTGCGCGATGATAATGAGGGGTCATAAGATGGGAAGGATGGGCCAATTACGGGAGATCGGGATCAAAGGAAAATTGCATCGGTGTCCTCGCTTCTTCCTCTTTTTGCGTCGTTTCTTTTCGAATGGTTGGGTTCAGGGCCGGGCAAGTCCTGAGATGGCCGATTGAGTGGCTGTCGCGCCGACAAAGGCGCGAATAATAATGTTTGACTTCGCTTCTTTCTTGATTCTGTTGTCGGGTTTTAGGAGCGGAGGTCGCGCGGGAATTTTGTTTCGTTCTTTTTGAATTTCTTTTTCGAATCTTGTCGAGCCCTTGATGACTCTCAGAACTTCGGATTTTCTTTTCAGAATTTTGTGCTTCTTTTTGCATTAGTTAGGAATTTAGGAATTTAGGAATTTAGGAATTCGGGATTTATTTTGCCGCGCGTTGTCTTTCTTGCGCGCTTCTTTTTGTGGCTGCAATGGAGCTCTCATTAGTCGGCGCCCTTAATTTTGCAAGTAACTACTAATTTTTGGGCGGGCACCATTGTAACTGTATCCTTCTTCTTGAGCTTCGTCTTTCTCGCTCTCTCTTTCCCTTTTGCTGTGCCTAGCTAGCCCCGCGGCCTGCATGCTCGGATCGATGCGTGGAGAGTGGCTACGTCCCCCACGCCGCGGTTTGGCCATGCAGAACGTATGTGCCCCCTCTCCCAATCTCCTTTCTAAGTCCTTGCAGTTCCGTGTTCTTCGCGTATGCATGCACGCTATAAATTCCGGTTGCGCGATTAGATAGCTCTCTTAACCAGTTGTTGGAAGCTCGGGGCAGTGCAATCAGTGAGGGTCGGCTCACGAGCGAAGTAAAAGGTGAGTTGAAGTGGGAGTCGGGCGACCCGACGAGCTGGTGCCGAATGGGCGGGGTTGATGCGTGGGGCTACTACGGACTGTAGCGAGCAGGCGAACCTGACAGGTGCAGGAGGACTAAGCGGGGTGACGACTTCGTGGGTTGGTGCGTGACGACAGACTGTCCGCATCGGAGAGAGAGAGAGGAAGATGAAGTTGAGGTTCATGGACGTGGATTTGCGATTTTCTTTGTCTTATCTTCCTCTTTGCTTTTGTATATAAATTTTGATCTCTGCTCAGGGCGGCTCGCCCATTTTTTCTTGTTTTCGGAATTCTCGTCTTGGTTTCAGCCCACACTCGTTTCGCGATTGGTCTTGATCTCGTGTATTGTGTGTTTTGTCGAATGAATGGATAAATGAATATTATGTCTGTTGCTTTTCTTTTGTCTGGTCTTTGCCATTTCGATACACTCATAAGCATAGTAGAAACTCTTGCATAGTCGTCATTATTGCTTCCAGTATTGCTTATCACCTTGATTTGTTGTTATTCTCATGTCGTTGTGATGTCTGATGTGTGTGAACACCTTGCATGCTCAGGAATGATTTTCTTGCGGGATCACGAAGTGATTAGATGATTGGGTAGTTGTTTGTGGCACGTGGCAATTTTGCATAAGGAATTGGGTTTTTCATCGTCCTAGAGGCCAGCGAATACCTCGCGGGGAAATGTGTAAGCGCGATCTGATCTGCGCAGCCTACACGCATCCACGTGCGCCGATTCGCGACCATCAACGAACTTGACATCTCCGGTACCGGGTAGGCGGGAACTTTCCTTTCCCCACGTACCTAAGCGGATAGGAATTTCCGATATCGCATCGAGAAAATCCGTGCGGAAGAATTCCACTACCCCGCAATGACAAGATGTCGAGCTCCTGGGACTTGGAGTACTTCGACCCTTGGGTGAGAGAATGTATTAGGCAAAGATACCCGGAATTCCCCTGCCTAACCAAGAATCGATTGTGCCCCAGGGAGTTTCACTGTGCTACAACCAGCGATCCGAGGTGCCCCGATTTTCCCACTACGGACAACATGCAATATTTCATATCCCCCGGCTTCGTCGTTATCACTACCAATTTCCCTCCCTTCCGTCTCCTCCTCCCGCATCACCAACTCACGGTGGTTCCGTGGAACTCCATCACCCCGTATTGGCCCCGCACGCCTTGCGGAAATTGTCGGCGGCGCGGCAACCGACGAGCCCCTGAAACTAGGGGGCCTAACCAGGACGCGCGACGAAAGACGCCACGTGTCTGCACCCGAAGGTCCGACTCATCGGAACCACAACCATCCCAAGCGGGCCTCTCCCCGAACCGCCGCCACCAAAACAGACGGATCAGACGGCCTTGAATGCACCGCGCATGCCATCTGCCTTATGCTGCACGACCTCCACCGCCCACAGACCGGAAGTAACTCGCCCCCTTAGCCCTCTTGCATCTATGTCCCTGAAACTTTGCCACAGGAGATCTCAGTTCCGACCTGGGACTCCACCCCCACTTTCCCAAAAATCCTTGGCACACCCCTTTTCGCACTTCCAGGCCCACATCCCACTCCGATCAGGAAGTCGCGCCGGGCATGAGGTTGGGCGTCACAGCGCCATCCACAAATTGTGCAAGAACTTTTGTGAACGAAGTTTTGTCAATTTTCAAAGAAAATACGAAAAATGAAAGGTGACCGCAAAATCCCTTGGCCCGCAGCTTCCCAGGCCTCTGACAAATGGGCACAGGAATAGTACATTTGCGAATTTGGGAGATCCATGTGACCAGCCTTTTCCCCTTTTCTTTGGGATTTTGGGAATATAGGTCCCCGTGTGAGTATGCCCACGAGGACCAAAAGACCCAAAATCCCAAATTTTGAGTCGTTTTTCTGGTCACACTGGAGAGGTTCGCTACCCAAATGCCTCAAAAGGTGACCCTTCTGTCAGCGGCCTGCGGGCTGCGGGCAGACCCTTTTTGAGACCACCTCCGGAGGTGGTCTCAAATTACCTTTCGTTTTTTTTTTTTTTTTTCCATGTTCGTGAATTGAAGAGAATAGTAGATGAAGAAGACATCCCGCCAAACAACTGAAAGCGACCAGGAACATTTACGTTGTAGCAAAGGCCCACGCGTTATACTGGCGTAAAAAAAAAAACTGAAAAAAAAAATCCATCTTGTTGTTTGGTCCTCCCCCGTGTGACCCGGCGCACTTGCCCTGAGTGCAAAGTGTCAGGGTCGCGACTTCGTTCTTTCTGGACGAGGTCCGCCCGGGTGACCAGTGACCACGCGAGGACCAAATGCCTCAAAAAAAACGAACCAAACGCCTCAAATTTTTGAGACTTTGGTCCGCATGTGAGTATGCCCTCAGCGTACATGCACACCTTTTCTTTTTCTTTTTTTTTCTTTCTTCTCTTTTCTAAGTTCTTCCTCCGGTACTTCGTCGCTATCAGTCCCTCGCACGTACTCCGGCCATGGGCCTTTTCACTAAATGTGAAAAATGCGAATGACTCTCAGGGCATACTCACACAGGGACCAAAAGTCTCAAAAATTTGAGGCATTTGGTTCCAGTTTTTTTAGGCATTTGGTCCCCCTGTGGTCACACGGGCGGACTTCGTCCAGAAAGGACAAAGTTGCTACCCCGACACTTTGCACTCAGGGCAAGTGCGCCCGGTCAGGACCAAACAAAAAGATGGAATTTGTTTTCTTTTTTCTTTTCACGCCAGTATAATGCGTGGGCCTTCGCTACAACGTAAAAAATGCTTGTGGTCGCACTTCCAGTTGTTTGGCTGGCTGTCTTCTTCGTCTACGATTTTCTTCAATTCGCGAACATTTAAAAAAAAACAACGAAAGGTAAATTGAGACCACCTCTGGATTGAGACCACCTCTAAATTGAGACCACCTCTGGATTGAGACCACCTCTGGAGGTGGTCTCAAAAAGGGTCCTCCCGCGGCCCCGCAGGCCGCTGACAAAAGGGTCACCGTTTGAGGCATTTGGGTAGCGGGCCTCTCCAGTGTGACCCAGAAACTGACTCAAATTTTGGGATTTAGGGTCTTTTGGTCCTCGTGTGAG